ACAAGGAAAGTAGTAGCCCAAGAGACAGAAAGGGCCACATAAACCAGAGACTTCATCAGCCTGAGACCAGAAGAACTAGATGGTGCCCAGCTACCATCAATGACTGCCCTGACAGGGAACACAACAGAGAGTCCCAGATGGAGCAGGAAAAAGGTGGGGTACAGAACTCAAGTTCTTGTAAGAAGACTAAACTTAACGGTCTGACTGAGACCAGAGGAACCCCGGAAAGCATGGCCCCTGGATTCTCTATCAGCCCAGAACTAAAACAATTTCTGAGGCCAACTCTTCAGACAGGGATTGGACTGGACTGTAGGACATAAAGTGATACTCGTAAGGAGTGTGCCTTTTAGCTCAAGTAGATACAGGAGACTAAATGGGCAGCTTCTGTCCGGAGGTGAGATGGGAAGGCACAGAGGGTTAGGAGCTGGTTGAATGGACCTGGGGAATCAGGGGTGGAAAGCAGGAGTATGGGGAGAGCAATTAAGAGTCACATAACAGTGTATGTATAAATTTTTGTATAGGAAAAAAAGAAAGAGTGAGGCCATATTTTAGGAAAGTGCACAGGACATGGGACCACATGACAAGAATACCTGACTATAGTGTTTCTCGTTGACAGGATGTGCTTCTGTCACCCCTCTCCCCACCGTCTGCCTCACATGATTCAGATGTATTGTCCTCATTCCTCTAAATAAGAATTATTAAGTATGAGAGGACATTCAGAGAAAAGAGTCATTACAGGATTATTTTACCTATTTCCCTTACATAAAATATTGCCTGATTTATATAAGTATTAGGGAGTCACTGCTGCTGACAGAAGTGTATTTGTGTGTGTGTGTCTGTGTGTGTGTCTGTGTGTGTGTCTGTGTGTGTGTCTGTGTGTGTGTCTGTGTGTCCTATTCCTGAACCTCTGTCACAACAGTTTGGCCATATTCTCAACTGTGGCAGGACTCCCTGCGCAGAGTTTCACTAGTAGCTGTCTTCCCAATTTTGGACCAAGGGGCCAGGGAAAAGCAGCATCAATAAATGCTGTATTTTCTCCTGTTCTGTTAACCACCTTGTGCCCATTAATATTCTCTTACTGTTAAACTCCACGAGGACTATCTAGGTCTGAGTGACGAATGACACATGAGTGTCTCCACCTTAGTTCAAGTGTTTATCACATTATTCCTAGCTTATTGCAGTGGTCTACAAAAAGCACTATTTTGTAGATTTCAGTCAGATCCTTTTGTTTTGTTTTTTTATACTTCCCTACTGAAAAGTCTTCAGTAGTTTCTTCCCCACTGGAAAACCTTTAGTAGTTCTGCAAGTGATTCTCAAAGTTAGGAAGTTTAGGGGTAGGACATGATGAGGAAAAAGAAGAATATGATCCCAATGGCTTTTAAAACAGACAAAGGACTTCCTATCCCCACTCCCCGCATGAAATAATGTATGTAGTAACTGACAGAAGTTACAGAGGGAAGTGTGTGTGTGTGTGTGTGTGTGTGTGTGTCTTATTCCTGAACCACTGAGTAAAGTATTCATTCCTTAATCTGGCATGTAAAACTGTCTACATATGGCTCAAACCTTTTCTCCCTGTTTGCAACTCTGAAACCTTCTCTTTACATAAATTGGCGGATATACTGCCCTCAACCTTGCACATTCTTGTCTGAGAAATTTACAAACAATGCTAACCTCACCTGAAATATCCTCAGTCAATCTAGACTGCAAGCTTAACTAAATAATTCAGATATGAATACTCATCAAAATAAATAATCCTTACCATAATTAATAAACCTTAGAAATTAAAATACCCCAGCCCTAGGAATAAGCTATACTTTGATGAAAAGACTAACGCTTTTTTCCCCCCCAAGTACTGATAACCATGACGTTCCCTGGAGGGCTAGTATTTTAAGAAAGAAGTGCTTGCTTTACTTACTAACCATTAAAATTTCTTCCTTTCAAATTTATGTACATTTTGCCTTTTAATATACAAAAAATTTAACAATTCACTGATTCTTCTTATAATGATCCATTAAGAAATTACTCAGAACATAAGCTGAAATAAATAGAGGGTAATCAAATACCCAGGCTTGTGAACCCGGGCAGTTTTATAATTATAATGATTTTTTCCCCCCAGAGGTTAAGCATTCAAAGGACCAAACCAAAAAACACCCGTGGCTATTGAGTCGATTCCGACTCATAGCGATCCTACAGGACAGAGTAGAACTGCTCCATGGGATTTCCAAGGAGCAGCTGGTGGATTTGAACTGCTAGCCTTTTGGTTAGCAGCCAAGCTCTTAACCACTGCACCACCAGGGCTCCATTCAAAGGACAGTATAGAAAATTAAACTGCTTATTGTAAAATCATAGTGAAAAATTGCCTTTTAAATGACTCCTTACAGTTATTCAGCAAAATAGTAAGTGAATACTACTAGGAAAGTGCTTCTAAGAGAGAACAAAACAGGATTGTAACGTTTACTTCTACTGCTCAAGTAACTTAAATTGACTAACAGTTTCTTCATCAGATAAATGAAAACAGTCCTATAGTTACTGAACATCAGTAAAGGAGACAGGAATATATGGCACTATAGGTGGGCCTGATTTGAACATTTTTGCAGGTAGAATGAAATATTGGCTTATTTACCAGTGCTGCCTCCCAGCCCCACTGTCTGTATCTTGGATCATGAGTAAATCGCCATAGGTACCAATAGGTTTCAATTACTTCCGGACGGAGGATGTAATACTTTTCAGCCTGCCGGACTGCCACAGCCTCTACTGCACCATCAAACTTGAATGATTCAGGACCTAGCTTTAATGCTGTAACATGACAAAAGAAACAAATGAGCAAAATAAAATTATTTTTGTTGTTTGACAGAGCTTTTTTCTCCCCTGAAAAAACTGGGTATGAAATTCAGTTATTTTTGTTGTTGTTGTGTGTTATTTTTATTGTTCATGTTTTGCCAAACTTGTTATTTTAAAAGATCCACATTTGGTTTTCTTATAATAGACTTATAAATATTTCCTATTATTCTGACACACAATATTTCTCACGAATAATGTACATCAGCATACTGCTAAATCTAACTATGTTGACAGTAACCCTATGGAAACAAAGGCAAAGCTAGACAAAAGCACATTACATATTCTATTTCAGTCCAAAATAAAATGATACAGATTGTATTGTGTAGAATTTTTTTTCTTAAGTCAAGATAAATGTAAAGTCCTTTTGATACAATACACACACACACAGAAAACATTTCAGAGCTCAGATCTTGAATTAAATTTAGTTACAGATGATATAATTTTCCTTCAAAGCAAACTACAGTATGTAAGAAACAATGCATTTTAAAACTTAAACCAGTTTTAAAAATAAAATCCATTATCCTATAGCCTCTGTATATATAGCAAGGAAGAGGTTCAAATTGCCCATACAAATAATTTCATCAGTAACTTGCCCATTTATCAGTCTGAATAAAACATGATCATAACACATATACCTCAGCATCATCACACACTATTTCTTGAATGGTATGATTTATACTCAGGTTGGAAAATACAGCAGTACATGAAAGGCTTTTTAAGGACTCTCTAATAATTATACCTGCACCAAAACCTGGGCAATATAGTCAGCATCCATTGGTATGCTGGAGTCACATGCCACTACATTCTCTTTCAGCTGCCAGCTTTGTTTCTTGTTACTAGGTTGCACTGGTGGCAAAGGTTAAAATAGTTTCAAAGTCTCGCCCCTCCTTTGAGAAATGCTGGGCATTTTTATATTTTTTCAGAAAAGAAAAGGTAGAACAAGAACTATAAGCATGCCATAGTTGCTGGCATGACAAACACTGATTTGGCCAAATTTCAGTATCACAAGAGTGACACTACAAGCTCCATATAAACACACACACACAGACACACACACACCCAGAAAACTAAACCTGTTGCCGTTGAGTCGATTCTGACTCATAGGGACCCTACAGGACAGAGTAAAACTGCCCTAGAGGGTTTCCAAGTCTGTAAATTTTTACAGAAGCAAACTGCCACATCTTTCTCCTGCGGAACAGCTCATGGGTTTGAACTGCTGACCTTTTGGTTAGCAGCCAAGCATTTTAACCACTGCACCACCGGGGCTCCTCTAATCACAAACAAAGGAGGTAAAGATGAAGTCTTTCTTACCCCTTCTCCAGCCAAAAACCAAACCAAACCAAAACAGAACAAACAGCACACACACAGATATAATAGTGACTGCAGACAGTTCTATTAAAAGCAAAATAAGTGATCCAGGAGTTAATAACCACAGTTGTTTACTGCTAAGTCTTGGACAACTCAAGCAGAACGAAAGCAGGGGTCCTTAACCTGAGCAGCATGAACTCTATGGTAGGCTTTAGAAGAGGGAGAGAACGTTGTGTCTAAGAAGCCTCTGAAACTGAATGCAAGACTTCATGTGTGCACATAAAGCTTTGACCACATCCTCAAAGGGATCTGAGATTAGGAATAGCCATCAAATTGTGAATAAATATTTTGTAAGAAAACTTCTATTCAGCTTATTGACAAAGTCTGCCATAAGGTAAAATATTATTTGGCATTTAATAAATGCTTTTAAAATGATGATAAAAGTCAAGCATCATACCTGTTGCCATCAAGTTGATTCCGACTCATAAGCAGAGACAATAATCCAATAGAAATACTGTAAGGTAGGCCACTTTGTCTGGATTTCTTACATTTCCCTCTCTCAAAGCCTATTAGTGCTAAGAGGTGATCGATCAGAGGGAGTTTTCAATATTAATCTTAATGCTAACTTTAAATTAGATACTAACATCTGTAATCAGAATGCTAAGAGCACCTGAACTGGAGTAGAAATTGGCTGCGTGGAACTAATATTTTAAACTTCGCGTTTTTTAAAAAATTATATTTTGCTTACTGGCCACTCATAACTTCAAAAATAAAACATACCAGAAATATATTTGCTCTTTGAAGAGTTGTAAGTTTCAAACAGATTACATTTATTGAGATATAAAAAAATCATCTCCCTGTTCCTTTTACAAAAGACTGCCAATCTGAGATTCGAACAGCTTAAGATACAAATTCAGATAGAATTCTAACCTAAAGCAAAGAAATCTATTAAGAGTAAACGTATTATTTCTATTAGGTGGTTGAAATATAAAAAATGTCACCCATTATTTTGAGTCCACCAACAGCAAGCTGAGAACCCAGGTCTAGATGATATCTAAATTTTTAGGATTCACTCCAAACAAGTTTAGGAGGAGCTAACTGATGAATATTTATTTATAAACTACTTAAAACACATCAGTGCAGTGGGCAGGAAAAGTAAGAACATTCTTTCTTTCATTTGTTCAAATACTGAGCACCAATGATGTCAGATAATGTGCTACATGCTACTTGCAAGCCATTTTTAAAAATCAAAAATAATCGGTGATTTTTTAAGATGACATTTGTTCCTGGTATAGCCATTGCAGAAAGAGTTTGGCAGCTCCTTAAAAAGTTGAACACAGAACTACCATAAGACTGAATAATTCCACTCTTAGGCATAGACCCGAAAAATCTGAAAGAAACGATGTGAATAGACATATGTGCACCAATGTTCACTGCAGTACTATTCATAATAGCCAAAAAGTGGAAACAACGAAAATGTCTATCAACTATGAATGGATAAACAAAATGTGGTGTATATATATAATGGAATATTACTCAGCCATAAACAGGAATGAGGTACTGACACATGTCATGGCACGGATGAACCTATAAAACACTATGCTGAGCGAAATAAGTCAGTCAAAAAAGAATAAATACCATATGATATCACTTATATGAAATAAGCAATTATACAGAAACCATAAGTAATTAGTGGTTAACAGGAGAGGGAGGGGGAAAGTGGGACAATCTGCTTAGAAAGCATTGAATGTATGTTAATGGTGGTGGGGTAATTTGGAAAAAGATATTGAGAATGGTTACACAACTTGAAGAATGTAATCAATGTCACTGAAGTGTACATGTAGCAATTCATGAAATATTGTATGTTTTGTTGTATGTATACAGCTATAATAATAATAAAAAGAACTGATGAGTAAAAGTACAAGCCTGAATTATATACATATCTCTTCCATTATTTTGGCCAAAGCATGGGTTTCATGTTTCTGGGGGTAATTCCCTTAAGTGCTCTTTTGTTTAAAAAATTATAGTAAAATTTTTTCCATAATAATATACTTTATACTTAATTTTTCATTCCCTACCTTAAACTTCTCCTTTTCATTTAATATTTAGTTTCTAATAGAAAAATAACTACTCCAAAAAGTAAAAACTGAGTCAAAATAATAAATAATTTGCTGCCTGGCTGAAAATAACTCTAGTAGATACAAAAACCATATGATGTAGATGAAGAAAAGAAACATGCACAAATAAAAAAATCACAGTAAAACATAAAATGTAATAAAGATCAGTGTTGTGGTTGTTAGTTGCTGTCGAGTTGATTCTGACTCACAGTGACCCCATGTCTACAGAGTAGAACTGCTCCATAGGGTTTTCAACGGCTGTGACCTTTCAGAAGCAGATCACGAGGCTGTCTTCTGAGGAGCCTCTGAGTGGGTTCAAACTGCCAACCTTTTGGTTATGGTCAAGTGCTTAGCCATCTGCACCACCCAGGGGCTTATAAGGGTCAGTATTAAGACAATAAAGGGAAAGTCTAAGGAAGGCACAGATTAGTTTAAGTCAGGGAAATGCAATTTGTGCAAGTACTCCAAGATGGATAGATTCGGGAGAGAAGGAAAAATAAGCACATTCAAGTCAACAAAAGAATTTCAACAAAAGGGAAAAAAAGCATAAGGAATATTCAGAGACAAGCAATTTGATTACAGTTTGAATGGATAATAGTAAGGGAAGAACGTAAACTATTTTCTGTACCCTCCCCTCCTATACAGTGTCTTAAAAAAAAAGTTGTAGAAACTCTTAAAATGTGTCCAGTACTCTATGTCCAATGGATCTTCTGACTGCTGGATACGTTATACGTATCTAAACAGATTAATTTTTTCCCCAAATGTGATTACATATTGTCTAAAGAAAGCAGTTCATCCAATTTTCAATTTCAAGTAAATAAAACTGAGTAATAGTCAATATTCTAGTGATGTCCAACAACTTTGGGGAAAAAAAGTTAAAAACCCAGAAGAAGAAAGCAATGTATTTTGGAAGTCTAAGATCAGATTTGGTGGTGTAGTGGTTAGGCATTAGGCTGCTAAACAAAAGGCTGGCAGTTCAAATCCACCAGATGTTCTGCTGGAGAAAGATGTGGCAGTCTGCTTCCATAAAGCAGACTTGGAAACCCTATGGGGCAGTTCTACTCTGTCCTATAAGGTCGCTATGAGTTGGAATCAATCAGATTTGGGACTAATTCTGCATTATGCCTCAGAATATACTAAAACATATCAATGTAGCTTCCCATGTAGCTATAGTAATGTTTGGAACCACCACTGAGTTACTACTGCTCAGCTTCATGACCAGATTCAGCAATGTTTCCTACAAACCTAGTTAAATATTAAATAGCAGATGATGCCCATCAGTGAGGAAGAATATATCAAGATTTCCAAATTTTGAATTAATGGTTAATTCTAATTCAGACAACAATGGAGAGACTGCCTCATGTACTTTGGACACGTTATCAGGAGGGATCAATCCCTGGGGAAGGACATCATGCTTGGTAGAGGGTCAGCGAAAAAGAGGAAGACCTTCAATGAGATAGACTGACATAGTGGCTACAACAATGGGCTCAAACATAGCAATGACTGTGAGAATGGCACAGGACCAGGCAGTGTTTAATTCTGTTGTACAAAGGATTGCTATGAGTTGGAACTGACTCGAAGGCACCTAACAACTAGTCTTTCAGGGAATTCATTATCTGTCGTTTTATACAGAAACACCTTACTAAAGTCAGAGAGAACTGGAAAAGGCCTAGCCCAGTGTTTCTCAACCCTTTTTTCATTACTGTCTCCCTAAGGAACATTTTTAGACTTTTTTTCCCCAATCACCTCCTCCTTCCATGAAATTTTAATACCAAATATATACTGTATCTCTGTTTGTTACTGTATGTTTATCTGTGCTTCATACATAAAAGAGTGAGACTTTTCTTTTTACTCCCAAGAAACAGTTTTTCCCCTGTTGAAAACCATCTCATTTTCTAGGTAAGGACACTGAAGCCTGGAGATATTAATTACCTGCCCAAAGCAACACTAGGGGATTTTATTAATTGAAAGGCACGAGCAACCTCAAAAATTATTAAACTGACTAACAGGTAAACAATTAGTTATCTAGATATCAATTAAACATTCAAGATAACTATTGTTATCTTTTGGATATTTTTATTTTCACAAGAGGACAGGCAAAGCAATGTAACCTAAATCAATCTATTTTCTGTTCTTTTAAGTAACTCTGGTTCTATAGAAGCTGAAACAAATGGCTACAATGGATTTTTATTATTTTAAAATAAATAATGTTATCCCATACATCCCCAAATACTCTACCTCTTGTCTTTAAAATAAGTACTTCAAAATCTTTATTAACAAAAACAGTAGCAGAATTCAGAATTAAGAACAAAACAAAAAACAAAAAAAAAACCAAAAATCTAGTGCAGAAACACATCTCCAGAACTGAAATTCAAGTTTAAAAAAAAATGATTGACTGTGTTAAAACTATTTTGAAGTGAAAAATGCTTATATATTTTCCTTCTAATTCCTGGGCACATTTTTGAGGTTATTTTAGATTAAGTAATTGGTCTTATTAATATTCTTACCAGTTCTATCATATGACTCATGACATGTACGTGCAATTTCCGCTCCAAGTTCTAAATAATGACCTGCTTTATCCATTCTGGAACCATCTGCTCCTAGTGCAAACATTCCCCCAGCAAAGCAGGCTAAATGCCCCATCTTCTTTTCTAAGTGACCATTCTTCCATTCTCCAATAAAGATAAGACCTCCACGGGACTTCTTAATAAGATGTTTTTCTATAGCCTGTAACAAGAAAGAGTAGATTTTCAAAATTTTAGACGCAAACTTCCTGTGCCCTTTTGGATACTGCAAAACCTTGGTAATTAGATATTCTCCAAACTGGGGAGACTTAGTTTAGCAAATCCTTGTAGATGTCAATAAATAAGTTTTGGAGTATGTGCCCAAGTTGCTTATAACCTGGAATGAATACCCTAATCTCTATTATAATAACACAGGATGAAAGAGAGGAAACTTAGCCTAAGATTACCTTTCTATATGATAACACTACCCAATATAAGCTTCATCTTCTTGAGCTAAATGAAATTCGTAAGTCAAATGAGATCATAATGGTAAGTTATAACCTAAAAGGCTCTACCAATTTATTTTCTATTTCATACAACAAAATCTGAATAGGAAGAATACCTAAGTAAATCAGAAAAATGTAATTTTAATAATTAGTTAAAATAGTCAATGTGACAATGCCACCTGACAAAATAATTTACAAAGGTACCATCAGGTGAGTCATCTTATACATTGTAAGGCTTACAAAACTAGTTGAAAGTAATCTTTACTTCTCAAATTGAGTGACTTGTTTTGGATTCTGTGCCATGGAAAAGAGAGGACATACGACAAATAAACAGCCCATCCTCCTGGAATGTCAAATTTACTCAAAAGATGTGGGAATGGTGAGCAAATATTCTATATTAAAGTAAACTTGAATAGGACATGAAGTAGAGTCCATAATCATCTTTAATTTTAAAGGTGACATTTTTTAGGGCTTTACTCCTTTGGACTTATGTTCCCAGACTTTGCAGAGAGGGGCTATGGGTTAATTCTCTACCTTTAGAAATAGAATACTTCTATATAAAAGTGTAAGAACTTATATTAATCCACTTTAGTAGAAATTATAGCATACGATTAGAAGATACTTTTATTTCATTCATGAATTTTCCACATTTTTATTGTGGGTTGTTCTCTGATAAGCTTCAAAATAATCAGTTAAGGAAAAATTTATTCTATATTCTCTAAAGTAATAATGTAGGTTTTTTCAGAACTGTAGGGACTATGCCTTATGCATCATCTTATATTATACAAGGTCTATAATGTAGTAAGTACTAAATAAATGTTTAATTAATAAGTACTTGTAAATAAATAGTACTCTTAGATAACAGTATTCGCCCTGTAAGGGGAATGAAGGGTGGTTAATAACCAAAATGATAAGTGACTGCCATTGGATCATAAGTTTTTTCTGTTGTTGTTTTCTTGTAACCATAGTGCCCTGAAGCACAAATGAAAAGATCTGTTTGTTGAGCAGAGGGGCAGTATTCTTCATCTTTGCAGACCTCATGGCATCTAGCATGTTTTCCACATGTAAGGTACTCAATAAATGCCTAGAGAATGGTATCTGTAGTTTTAGTTCTAAATTTTCATAAAAAATTTTTGTCTTTGTGTCATTTCTGTTCATTATAACATTTCTGTTCTTACCCTGTTATAATTAAAAGCTATACAAACATATTCCCAAGGACCTAATAGGACTAAAGTAAAAGATGGGTAAAGATAGGGTTTTTACCAATAATTCACTTATGGACCTCTAAAATTGCTTACATGTAAATATAACAAATCCTAAGGATTCAACTTGTATAAAATGTCAAACTGCTGAATAGCAGTTAAAAGAAGTATTATTACTCTTCGATTAAAAGATGTTGAACAAATTCTCACTAACATTGGTATTACCTTCTTGATCCTAAATGACCTTTAAAAAAGTACATTTTTTCTTCACTATTTAAAAAATTAAAGACTAAATATAAACTATATCAGAACACAAAAGCTGTAACTGTAAATAACTTATAAAAAGAAAAGTGGAATGCAAGACCAGGGATATGGGTATCAGGTTGTATGCGTAGAGTAGGGTGGGTGGGAGTGGAATTATTTACATAGAATAGCTCAGAAAGGCAAATTTAAAATATAATTTATTCAAATTAGAATGGATCTTAAAATAAGTGATCATTCCTACCTCTCCCATGCATTCCATATGTCACTTAGTTAAATTTGTATATACTCTGTCTCTTAACAAAATTAATGTTTACTGAAGATAATTAAACTACCATCACAAACTGCACACTTGATTATCACTCAAAATGAAAAATGGCTAATTGGTCATTTAAAAACATTTAGTAGGTGCCCATTCTGGACTTAAGAAGTAATAAAAACAGAACACAGAAAATAAATATGAAAAGCATATTTATAGAACAGATAACTTACATAGCAGATGTTTTGTGGAAAATAATTTTAACCTAATGAGGTTAACTTTCACATAGATATCATGCCTTTCAAAGTATACATTAAAAAATCAATGACAAATATAAAATAGATTTTCTTTCACTTCTATCAAGAATTAAGTAAAGTAAAAGGAAAAACGGTTTTAGATTAAGAATAGTATAAGAAAGCAGCAAGCTATGAAGAAAAGATATTAATTACATGGTATATGACGTGTCACACTTTCTCAAAAATAATAATATTAAACATATTCATTCAATTATCAAATACTTACTGAGAAACTATTATGTTTCAGGTATTGTGCTAGATGTTAAGACAAACAAATTAGCTTCTGCCCTCAGGGAGCCCACAGGGTAGTGGGAATGACTAAGGGGATCTTTTCAACACTATGATTCTAAGAATATTAAATTCTTTCTACTTAATGACTTTCCTTAGACCATAAAAATTTCTAGTTTTAAATTTTAATAATAGAGAAAACTTCCAAACTTTTCAAAATTTTAGACTTCATAAAGAATTTCAGAAGTCATATACTACAATTTTAATTCTTGATTATACTTCAGTTAGTTCAATTTATTAGTTAACTCAATCCTTCAGCAAACATTTACTAAGTGCCTACAATGGGCAAAGTAATGTATACTACATATTAAATTCAACATCTGCATTTTTATAGACAACTGTGAGGAACTGGGTCCCTAAAAGACAAGGATATAAAATGAGTATTAAAAATAAAAACAAAACTATAACTCTGAAAATGGATATGTGACTACAGCTAGAATGGTGTTCTTATATGCAAAATATACTATTTTAAGAAATACTTTAAATCATTAATGGGGTATGAGTTTATAATGAATCAGACAGAAAACAACTTACTAAACTATTCATATACTTTTCTATTTCAGTTTTTGCTTGGAAATATCCTATCTAAATGCTTCCAAGAACGAGTCTTTTTCGGATTTTAAAATTTCACTTTCTCATGGTATGATGTTATATAAATACGAAACAATATAGTACAGTGGTGAAGAGCACAGGCTGTGGCATCAGACTGTTCAGTTCCAGGCTCCATCATTTACCAGCTATGTGACCTTTGGCAAGTTATTTAATCTCTCTGTGCCTTAAGGGCCTCTTGTGTAAAATGGGAGTAACGGGAAAACTATTTTATATATGAAAGAGAGTCAGAACAGTGCCTGGTGTATGGAAAACACTATGTAAGTGTGCTGTCATTATTATTATTTACCCAGAAAGTTTTCAATGGGTAGGTACAAGTAATCATTGGAAAGAAGAAATGTCTATGGAAATGTATGTTAAGTCAGAAGTTTTTCTAGTCTTTGTAGATAGTAACTAAAAGCAATTAAATAATTTTTCATACGTAAAATGCTATACTAAATTCTTCAATAATTTCTTTAAAATGCCACAATATAAAGTAATAAATGCCTTTTATATTACAACACTAAAAAACTATACGACTGCATATGATAAAATATTATGTGTGTTATACGCACTTCCTGGATGCACATAATAAAATGGTTGTATTTGTCTAGTCACTATCAAATATTCACATTTTACATTCAGTAAGTTAACTAGCAAAACGTTCTGATAATAATTACCTCAACAGCATCATCATACATTTTTCTTGCCTCATGGTCTGTTTTATCTGACATTAACCATGCTTTCAGTAAGTATTCATAAAAACTGTCTCCCAGTCCACCAACTGATGTATGATCTGTAACAAAAGAGAAGAATGGAGGTAGAGAAAACACAACACTTAAATAAAGTAATATTTTCTGATTATATTACAGATGAATTATTTTAAAATTATACTAATAATTTTAAAAATTACTTATCAACATACTTTAAATTTAGTCCAGTAAGAGTATACCATAATAACTCTTCTCTATATATGTACCCAATTTTTCTGAACATCTTTTTCCTCTGGATGTGGTCTTTCACATATTTAGTAGTCATTATTGTGAATCACATAGTGTGTACACTGTCATATATCCAAACTTTCCAGAATTGAAAATAATTATCTTTCATATATTAATGGCTCTAAATATATACAAAACCAAAAAAAGAAAAACCCAAACCCACTGCCGTTGAGCCGATTCCGACTCATAGCGACCCTACAGGACAGAGTAGAACTGCCTCACAGGGTTTCCAAAGAGCAGCTGGTGGATGAGAACTACCGACCTTTTGGTTACCAGCCAAGCTCTTAACCACAGCACCATCAGGGCTCCCTAAATATATGCTATGATTAAATACGCAAAACACTCTTAGATCTGATGTTAACCTAAAAGAGCTCATTCTTAGACATTTTTCTCTATAGGATGGCGAATGGTAACATCTGTGCCACAGGAAATAAAATTATTCCACAAAGAAAAAAAAGCCCAAGAATTCCTTTGTAATATCACCTTGCGTAATAAGTTGCTGAAACGTTATCCTCAATTAGTATTTATACAGCTATCAGTACTTATTTGTTTGCCCTAGTTATATTGTTTATCTCATCTATATTTTTAATCCTATACAGTTTAGTGCTATAAATCCTAAGACAGTCTATTCTTTTACTCTCGACTTTCTACAAACCCTGCTCTACCATCCCTGAACTTTGTTTCAAAACTTACATCCTCCCTGCATGAAAGAAAAAATATCACATTTCTTACAACTCTTCAATCATCTACATAGTACTATAATTAGTCTTTCAAATTGGTAAGGAAAAGACAGACTATTCAGTGCCCTATGGCACTGGTTATCCATTTGGGACACGTGCATATTAATATCTTTAGGTCACAAAAATAAACTTGTGATAAACAATTTAAAAGTAAAACATAAAACTATAAATATACCAGAAGAAAAAAAATAAGGAAATGTCTAATCTTCCTAAGCAAATGATCTTGTTAGGCAAAACACAAAATGAAGGAGCCATAAAGGAAAAGATTTATAGCTTCCTATTGTATTAAAAAAAAAAAAACCAAACCCGTTGCTGTCAATTCTGACTCACAGTGACCCTATAGAACTGCCCCATAGAGTTCCAAACTGCCTTTTGTTTAGCAGCCATGGCCCTGTGCCACCAGGGCTCCTCCTATGGAATAAGCTACCATAAATAAACATAAAACACAAAAAACTGAATGGGAGAAGATATTTATAACATAAGAAAAAAGGATCAATATCCTAAACAACGAACTCTGACAAATGAGGACAAATAGCCCAATGAAAAACTGACACAGGACAAACAAAAGTAATTCACAAGGAAAAAAAAAAAAAAACAACACAAATTGATAATTAACATAAGCAAAGATGCTTAGAGAAAATCAAATAAAAACAATGAGATTTTATTTTTACCTATTAGATTGGCAAAATTTTTTAAAGACTGATAATATCCAACATTGACAAGGTTATGCTTTGTTGTTGCTGGGATTTAAAAGAAATTTGGTAGTAGCTAATGAAAACATAACCTAGGAGTTATAGTTCTGAAATTATATGCTATCCCATCACTAATATACATATATAGATGTTGCTGTTGCTAGATGCTGTCAAGTCAATTCCAACTCATAGCAGCCCCATGCACAAAAGTACAAAATACTGTCTGGTCCTGCACTACCCTCACAGTTGTTACTATGTTTGAGCCCATTGCCACAGCCACTGCGTCAATCCATCTCATTGAGTGTCCTCCTCTTTTTTTGCTGACCCTCTATTTTAGCAAGCATGATGTCCTTCTCCAGTCACTGGTCCCTCTTGTTAACATGTCCAAAGTAAGTGAGACGAAGTCTCACTATCCTTGCTTCTAAGAAACATTCTGGCTGTACTTCTTCCAAGACAGATTTGGTTGTTCTGGCAGTCCATGTTCAATATTCTTTGCCAACATCATAATTCAAATGAATTTCAAATCAATTCTTCTTCGGTCTTCCTTATTCATTGTCTAGATTTTGCATGCATATGAAGCGACTGAAAATACCATGGCTTGGGTCAGGCACACCTTGGTCCTCAAGGTGACATCTTTGCTTTTCAATGCTTTAAAGAGGTCTTTTGCAGATTTGCCCAATGCAGTATGTCGTTTGATTTCTTGACTGCTGCTTCCATGGGTGTTGATTGTGGATCCAAGTAAAATGAAATCCTTGACAACTTCAATCTTTTCTCCATTTATCATGATGTTGTTGTTGTGAGGATTTCTGAGATGTAATCCATATGAAAAGCTGTAGTCTTTTATCTTCATCAGTAAGTGCTTCAAGTTCTCTTCACTTTCAGCAAGCAAGGTTGTGTCATTTGCATATTACAGGCTGTTAATGAGTCTTCCTCCAATCCTGACGCAGTGCTCTTCTTCATATAGTACAGCTTCTTGCATTTTTTGCTCAGCGGCCAGAATGAACAGGTAGGGTGAAAGGATACAACCTTGACGCATACCTTTTCTGACTGTAAAGTATGCAGTATCCCCCTTGTTCTGTTCAAACAACTACCTCTTGGTCTATGTACAGGTTTCAAATGAGCACAGTTATGTGTTCCAGAATTCCCATTCTTCACAATGTTATCCATAATTTGTTATGATCCACACAGTTCAAAGCCTTTGCATGGTCAATAAAACACAGGTAAACATCTTTCTGGTACTCTCTGCTTTCAGCCAGGTTCCACCTGACATCAGCAAAGATATCCCTTGTTCCACATCCTCTTCGGAATTCGGCTTGAATTTCTGGCAGTTCCCTGCAACCGCTTTTGAATGATCTTCAGCATAATTTTACTTGCACGGGATATTAATGATATTGCTTGATAATTTCCGCATTCTGTTGGATCACCTTTGTTTGGAATGGGCACAAATATGGATCTCTTCCAGTCACTTGGCCAGGTAGCTGTCTTCCGAATTTCTTGCCACAGACGAGGGGGCACTTCCAGCGCTGCATTCATTTGTTGAAACGTTTTAATTGGTATTCTGTCAATTCCTGGGGCCTTGTTTTGTGCCAATGCCTTCAGTGAAGCTCGAACTTCTTCCTTCTGTGCCACTGGTTCTTGATCATATGCTACCTCCTGAAATGGCTGAATGTCGACCACTTTATTTTTGGTACAGTGACTGTGTATTCCTTCCATCTTCTTTGACGCTGTCTGCATCATTCAACTTTTTGCCTATAGAATCCTTCAATATTGCCAACTTAAGGCTTGATGTTTTTCACTTCTTTCAGCTTGAAAAATGCTGAGCATGCTCTTCTCTTTCAGTTTTCTAACTCCAGGTCTTTGCATGTCTCATTATAATACTTTACTTTGTCTTCCTGAGTCACTCTTTGAAATAGAGATACAGAAAAATATACTGACTGGGTATCTACTGCCTGGATGCTTTTGTGTAGGCTAAGTTGGAGAAGGGTAGGCTAACTGACAGGCTTTGCTTTAGAGTCAGGAATGGTTTGCTTGCTGTGAAACTGTGGACCTGACCAAATTTTAGAATGAAGTGGGGGCTTTATTCTGGGACATCTACATCTACATGGAAAGTCTTACCTTCCCTCAATAAAATCGCTCATTTTTTAAAAGAAGAGCTGCACAGTTTCATGCCTGGTGATAAACACCAAGGGTGGAGGTAGTAGATAAGGAATTCAAGTGAAGCTCATGTTTTTTATATATCAACCTTGAATAAATCCCTGTTTTTAGCTCTATTTTTCACTCATGTCTTCGACTAATTTTACATACTGCCTATGAACCCAAAATCTCTCTGGGATTCCATCAATTATCTTTTCTTTAGTTTTCTTTTAAGATATTCTAGGCTGTGGCTTTCTCATTTCTATTCATCTACCCTCAGCCACATTCTGTATTCTGGAAGTTGGTTGAAATATCTTATCCATTATGAACCCTCTCCCTCCTCCACTTCCAAATTTCTTCATTATTATGGGTTTTCCATTTTTACATTTCTGGATCTTCACTTCATTTTGGTCTCAGGAAGAATCGTTGTTCATAATGGTGAAGTTATAGTTCAATTTTCTACCATGAACTAGAAGTTCTAATACAAGTTTCTCAGGCTGACTTTTTTCTCAGTAACTCTGCAATTAGTTAATGCTATATATGTTTAATTTTTCATTCCCCTATGTCATAATTTGCTCCCATTGTTTATCCTATCAAAAATAAAAACCAGACTTCTGGGCAACATGGCACTATAAGGCAGAAACACCACGCTATCCCATCACAGTAAAGATTCAAAAAACTAAGCCAAAAAAAAAGAAAACGGCAATCCTGAAACCCTAAGCATCAAATGAAGAGATAAAGAACTCAGCCAAGCACCGAATGGAATAAGAAACTGACAGAGAACAGAGAGTGAGGAGAGATACATACAGAGGTCCCCTATCAGTTAACGCAGCACGAATCCAGCACCTTGGACTCCTTTCAGAGATCAGCAAACAGGGGATACGAGAAAGCAGCTTCACGGAGCTTCCAGCAGGAGACAGAACAACCAGTAACCAGTGATATATGCTTTCCCCCACCCCACCCTTCTTCACCCCCCACTCGGCCTGCTCTGTTTCCTGCAGCCAGTCTCTTGGCCAGGAAGCACCACTTTCACCCTGATGTCAGTTGGATTCCACCTACCCACACTGGCCAGCTCCCTAAGTGCCATTTGTTGGCTGCTGGTGTTGCTTTTTTTCCGCTTCTTTAGATTTCTTCCTTAACTCTCATGACCTCCCAGTCCTTTCTCTCAAATACCAGGCTCCGTGTGCCATCTTTGCTTCTTCCTGAAAGGCTGTGCAACACTGCTTGAAT